GATTTTAGGGAGAAAATATTGAACAACATAGAAAGCATATTTAAAACAAAGTGGGAGGGGGAGAATACAGTCACTGTGCCAGAAAGGGTTGGTTGACATTCAACCCACCATTTTTGGAGGTCACACACGATCAAGACCTAGTGGCAATGAAGGGAGAAGTCCAACCTGCCCAGAAGGCATGGGTGTACCACACGCTCCAGGAATTGAGGTAATACCAGTTGGGATCTTTCAACACATGGATGAAATGCTGGGAACACCCACTCATCTCTGCCAAGAAATCTGGAAGACATCTACCTGCCCAACCGGCTAGAAACTATTCATCCTGCTCCCGAGCATTCCAAAGAAAGGTGACTCACCAGAATGTGGGAATCATTGAACAATATCATTAATATCACATGCAAGTAAAATTTTGCTGAAGATTGCTCAATAACGGAAGCTGCCAGAAAGTCAAGCCAGACTCAGAGGAGGACATGGACTGAGGGTCAGTTATCATTGCTGACATTACAGGGCTCTTGACTGAAAGCAGAGAATCGCGGAGAGATGCTGACCTGTGTTCTCTTGATCGTGTGGCTCATGTCAAGAGTAATATTGCACAGAAGAAGAATTCCAAAACAATTTCTGTGCTCGTGCAGAACTCGTAGTACACAGACCACGAGGCAGTTGTTCCCAAAGAGCAGAGGAAATACGTGTTTCAAATGCAGGAAAGGTGGTAGGCCTTCCTCTTTTTATGGACCTTCTACTTTACCACCCATGATGCCCTTCTCCATGGACTGCTCCCTCCTGATAACCTGCCACGGGGCAGTCCCTGAAACACTCACTAAGCATAGCACTTCCCCTGCCCACCACACTCACACTGACTCTCCCTCACACTTGGCTCTCCATGGGGGTAGGGGGGCAGCCCCACTGTCTACCCAGCCCCAGGCAAGACCAATGGGGAGTGTCCTTGTCCCCACCTCTGGGGCTGTGTGGAGGATGGGCAGGAGTCTAGATCAGAGAGGAAGCTTAAGGAGACTCCCCGGAGTCCCTGGCACGTGGCCACGGGGACCAGGGGGCAGCAAAGAGGTGGAGGGAGGGCTGACATGGAGGCAGGCACATTATGGGGTATGGAGAAGGCAGTTTCTGGGGTCTGGGCCATGAAAAGATAGGGGAAAGGCAGGGGTCATCCAAGGAGAGGGAACCTGGGGCAGGCAGGCATTGCGCTCAGCTTGGCGATACTGGGCATGGGGCCTGATTGGCACAGAGGATCTCTCCAGGGTGGCTGCTCCAGGTGGGGTGTGGCAGGGAGGGGGGGTGGATGGGGTGCACTGATTGAAGAAAGAGTATAAAGAGGGGCTGTGGGCAACCGGAAGTGGATGAGGCCTTGGAGGAGAGCGAGAGGGAGGAGAGGCGCCCAGTAGGGAAATCAGGCACCCTGAGGGCTCTCAAGCTAAGTGGGCTACACATTAGGCTGCTAACCACAAAGTCAGCAGTTTGAAACCACCAGGCACTCCGAGTTGAAAGACGTGGCTGGCTGTCTGCTCCCATAAAGATCCACACATTCTATATTGTTGAGAACAAGGGGGGTTGGAGCAGAGACTCCAAACCCATCTGTAGACGATAGGACATCCCCTCACAGAACAGTCACAAGGAAGGATGAACAACAGAAACGTGGGTGAAGGGAGATAGTGGTCAGTGTAAGATAAGAAAACAATAAGAATGGATCATTTATTAAGGGGTCACGAGGGTGGGAAGAGGGGGAGGGAGGGGAAAAAAGAGTTGATACTAAAGAGTTCAAACAGAAAATAAATGTTTAGAAAATGATGGCAACCTATGTACAAATATGCTTGATACAATTGATGTATGGAATGTTATACGAGCTGTAAGAGCCCGCTTCTCTGGGGCAGATCTCCTCTGTCCTGCAGGGTGGTCGTGGGTCAGAAGTGACTCCAGGACAGTGGGTTTGGTTCTGGGTGGCTCTGACTTGAAAAGGCTCGGGGAGGTGAGTGTGGGACAGAAGAGTCCAGAGAGACGTGAGAGGACAGCAGGAGGGGTCTGAGAGGGGGGCCTGCAGCCAAGGCAGATCCAGGAAGGGGACAGAGGGACAAGTGGGCAGGGCCGGGGCGAAACACGTGTCCCAATAGGACGACATGAATCTGGGCCCCTCCAAGACTCCCAGCCACCAGGGCCGCTGCGAGAGAGAGCCAGTGCCTCCCTCTGAAATGGGCCCCAGGTCTTTCCCCTGGACACCCTCCCCCTCACCGCTGTGTGCGCGCTCAGGCTTACAGCCCTTCCCGGGTTCTGTTGCCCAAGGCCAGAGTCCAGGTCCTCACCTCGATATTCAAGGCCTTTGCCACCCTCTGAGGCCCCACCTCGCTGCCCTGCATCAAGCTGGGCTCAGCTGCTCCCTTCTGGGCCCTGTTTTACCCACCCTGAAACCTCCCCTCGAGGCCTGGTGGGGAAGCGAGTGGCTGCTAGCTGGAAGGACAGCCTGTGAACCCTAATGGCTCACTGTTCAGGGGGAGAAAGACTTGGCTGCCGGCTTCGTAAAGACTTCCGGCCCTCGGGGCACTGCTCCCCTGTCTCAGGGTCGCCATGAGTCAGGAATACTGAGGCCCACTGCAGAAGCCCTGCAAAGGTGCCTCACTTCCACTGGGGGCCTCCTGGGCGCCTCAATGACACAGCCTGTCGTTCTTGGTGGGACTTGTCATGGGCCTGCGGCCCAGCCTGCAGGAATGGCCGGAGCAGCTTGATACGCAGTGAACTGGCAAGTGGACAGTTGCCTCCAACAGACGTTCAGTACCCGCCCTGGGGCCTGTGCCCTTGGGAGAGGCAAGAAAGGGCAGCCCCTCAGCCTTCAGACCGGGCACCCGCCCTGGCCAGCAGAGCCCAAGGCAGGCATCAGCTTCTCCTCGCTCCCCAGGTGAACTGCCTGGGCAACAGAACACGGCGAGCCTGCAACCACACTTGGCAGAATTGGGCAGGGAGGCACATGCCAGAGATGCCGCTTGGGCGGGGCCGCAGGAAGCTGCATGGACAGTCAGGCCACCCCCTCCCTTGGGGGACAGAAACGCTGTTGGTGTCCGGCATGGCCGGTGTCATTTCCATCCCACCAGCCACTTGTCCCTTGGGAGAAAGATGCAGCTGTCCCGTCCCATGATTGACACTCTCGGGAACCCCCGGGGCAGATCTCTTCTGTCCTGTGGGGCGGCTGTGAGTTGGAATCGACCCGATGGCAATGGCAGTGATAAGGGTCCAGAAGGCCAAGGACCCGGCAGTGTAGTCAAGTCACAGGAACAGTTTCCTGAGGGCCTGGTTTCCCTTCTCCCACATCCCCAGGAGGGAGGAGTTAGGGCCTCCCTCATCCCTGGCTTTCCAGATGTGTGCACGGAGGCACCCGAGAGGGCAAGCAATTCATTCCAGGCCACACCTGTCGGAAGATGGGAGTGTCCCCTGTCAACCCAGGCAGTCTGCCTCCAAAACCCACATCCTGGGCCCTGGGCCTCAGCTGCCTCTGCAGGCTCTCACTCACGCCAGCCACTGGGGCCCGCCCTTCAAGGATTCCCTCCTGGAATCCTCACCACAGGCGCTGTGGGCAGGCCCCACTGCGGGCTTCGCTGTTTGTCCAACGATGTCAAAACCCAGACCCAGAGGGTTTAAGAAACCTGCTCAAGGTGGTGCCGAGCAAAGGAGGGCTGGGACGTCCGTATGGGAAGAAGGTGGGAGGGAGGGAAGGAGGAGGGAATTAGAGAGGGAGGGGAGGGGAGAAGGGAAGCTAGAAAGAGGGGAAAGAAGGACTGACACGCCCAGGCTCTGGGCAGGATCAGCGCACAAAAGAATAAGCCCAATGGGTGGACCAGGCACGGGAAGGAACGCCTAAGGGGGCGGGGCGTCAGCTCACCTTGGTGGCGCGCAGCCCCATCAGGGCTGCGAAGAGCAGCAGCAGCAGGGAGGTGCCGACCTTGAGGTCCGTGAGCACCACCATGCCCACGTTGACGAAGAGGGCCATGCCGGACACGAACAGCGTCAGGTTGAGCAGCGCGCGCTGCAGCGTGGGCGTGCGCACCTTCAGCTCGGGCAGCAGCTGCTCCAGGCCCTCCAGCGGCGTGTCCTTGAAGCACTTTAGCACCAGGTGCCCTCCCCTGGTCCGGGCTGCCAGCACCACCCGCTTAAAGTACCTCCTAGGGGGCGAGAGATTCCAAGTGAGGCTGCAGGGCAGGTAGAAACTAACCCCGCTGAATGTACAAATGCGCTTCACACAATTGATGTATGTATGGATTGTGATAAGAGTTGTATGAGTCCCTAATAAAATGATTTTTAAAAAGCAAAAAAACGGGGAGGGAGGGGAAAAATGAGGACCTAATGCCAGGGGTTTAAGTGGAGAGGAAATGTTTTGAGAATGATGAGGGCAATGAATGTACAAATGCGCTTTACACAATTGATGTATGTATGGATTGTGATAAGAGTTGTATGAGTCCCTAATAAAATGATTTTTAAAAAGCAAAAAAAAAAACCCCAAAACTAACCCCTCCCCCACTGCCTGAGTGTCGGGGCTTGGGGGGAGCTGTAACTCTTCACAGGGGTAGAAAACCTCGTCTTTCGCTCCTGGAGCTGCTGCTGGTTTTGAACAACTGCCCTTGTGGGTCGAAGCCCCACACTGAACCACTACACCACCAGGGCTCTGTGAGTTGGCATCGACTGGACAGTAATGGGTTTTTGAGAGCTGGAGGGTCAGACACCCTCGACCCAGCAGGGTCAGGGCCACCAGAGAGGTGTACCTTCCAACCTCTGGCTTTGGCCCGCTAGCTCTGCGGTAACAGCTCACTGCTCTTGTGTCCATGCCGGTTCACGGTGACCCTATAGGACAGTGTAGCCCTGCCCCTGTGGGTTTCTGAGACTATAGCTCTTCCTGAGAGCAGAAAAGCCTCATCTTTGAGCCCCAGAGTAGCTGGTGGTATCAGCAACCCAGGGCAGAACCCAGGATGCCACCAGGGCTCCACTGGCACAAGGATAAAGCGCTCAGTTGCAAACCCAAAGGCCCGCAGTGCAAACACACTCGCCCAGGAGGGAGAGGCAGCAAAGACCTGGATGTGCTTCTGTGAAGATGGGCATCTAGGAGACTCGATGGGGGCCGTGCTGCTCTGCCACCGGCGTAGCTGACTTGAGGGCACTGTACCTGAGTAGCTACAGTTAAAAACCAGCTATTCACCAGGGCCCGCCTGCCCCCTTTCTTGTGGCCGGCCCTCTCTCAGCCTCAGTTTTCCTCATCTGGAAAACAGGAGAATGGCCCTTCCCCTCTTGCTTCCTGAAGCAATAATAGTTTGCACTTTCTCCACCGGGACCCCAGATGCCCACATCCCTGATACTGACCAGCCTGTCCCTCTGGGTTCTAACCCTGCTCCCTCTCGCTGCTGCTGGGGGAACAAAGGCTGCCTCACCTCTCGACCGGGGGCGACCTGGTGAAGAATCCACGCTTGGATCCCACGCTGGACATCCGGGGCATCTGCCCGACTCGCTGGCCCAGGGCCCAGAACTGCATGTAGATGTACTGGTCCAAATTGATCGTTACCTGCCAAGGTGGAAGGGTAAAGGGGGCAGCCAACTGAACATGGGCTGTGAGGTGAGGACAGGGACAGGGACAGGGTCAGCGAGCAGACCCTCCCTCTGGGGACCCCCTCTTCCCTGGGCATCTCAGCACCTAATGTTAAGGCAGGGCAGCCGCGCACAGTTGCTCAGGTTGGAAGCTGCACAAGGCAGTGCCACGGGCAGCACCAAGCCATCCTTATGGTCGTATTTCTAAGATGTCCCTGGGTTTTACTTTGTCGCTTCTTTTTCCAAACTTTATTGCAGGGAAAGTATGACAAAACGGCTGCCCTTTCAACTCTCTTTCCGCGGCCCCCTCGCTGACATCATCATGCTCACCATGCGGCCAGACTTCAAGGACGGGCACTGTGCGTTGTTGTTATAATTATCTGGCAGGTGCCACTAACAACCTTCCCAGACTCAAGAACGCCCCGCTCGGAAGACACAGACAGGGATACCTGGATGGACGGCGCTTTCCGGTATTGTGCTGTTGTAAAATTGCCCGCAGACTGAAGGTTTATGGCTGCCCTGCCTCGAGCAAGTCTACCGGTGCCGTTTTTTGTCATCCACCCCCCTCCCAACAGCACATGCTCCCTTCCTGCCTCCCTGTCCCATTCTGGTCATTCCCACCCGAGATTTTAAACGTTTCCTGTCATGCCATCGCACACGTCACAGATTGTCTAGCCTGGTGCCAACCAACATCACCGTCCTTGGCACAGGGAAAGCAAAATAATATTCAGTGTGATTCGCTTGATGGCAATCTTGGCTTTGTTGCTGCGGTCCAGGACCGAAACCACAATATAGGGGGAAGTGGAGTCACCTTGAGACAGGGGCACCTTTTTATGGCTCACCAGAGCCGACCCTTGTCCTAGTGCCCGGATACGAGGACTACAATTCCCAGGAGCCTCTGCTTCTCTGAGCCACCCCACTCCCAACCCAAGGCCTGATGGGAATCTGGGCCCTGATACCTGGACCTCATCCTGAGGGTGGTGAACCACCAGTGCATAAGCCAGGGCGTCCTCGGAGAGCGCTGAGAAGTTGGCCTGCATCAGTAGGGGCTCCAGGGCCCGGAGCACCTCCTGCTCATTGGCCAGGCGCTGGGGGTCCGTGAGCGAGGGCTGGTCAAGGGTCTCCCTGTCAGGGTTGATGGGGTCATACAAAGTCTAAGGAAGAAGATGAGCGTGGTTGGAGCAGGAGGGATCGTGGGCAGATAGGCTGTTCTCATAGAGGATGGGGCCCCTGGGCTTGGTCCTCGACCCTCTTGGCTTCTTTCTCTTCAAGCTCACCCAAGGTGCCCCGCCTCTCGGTGCCTTTAAGCACGGTCTCCCCAGCCCAGACCTCCAGCTTGGCTATCGCCCCCAAGTTCTGGCCCAAAGGCCATCTCTGGAGCAGGCCCACACCCTGCCACCAACACCCTGCCGCCAGCGGCGCCCCACTGCCCCTGGGATAAAATCCAGAATCCCTCCACCACCATCAAGGCCTCCCCCCGGCTGTTCCTCGCTCCTTTCATCTTACACACTAGTCTCCACGCCCAAAACAACAAACAACAGAAACTGTGGCATGAACAGGGAGGCTGGAGCTTCTCATACCCTGACCCATGTTCATTGGTGGGAAGACGAAGGCTTAGGGTGACAGCGGACTTGCCCTCAACGACATGATGATATAGCATGTCTTCGGCTCTAAGACTTAGAGGGTGACCAACCTCCAGAGACAAGTGCAGCAACCCAGCCCTCTGGAGGGGGCTTTGGGGGAGGTGGGTAGCCTTAAAGAGCGATTTTCTGAGAAAGGGAAGAGGGAACTTTACAAACTCACCGAAGGCAACTAGTAAGTGAGTGAACAGTTGGAGGGCAGGGGAGAGGCAGGGCAGGGGAGAGGCAGGGCAGGCTTAGCGGCCCCTGAACTAGTTCCCAGGGTTGGTGCTGCACTCAGGGCAGGCAGGATGGGAGCCAGGGGAAGGTCAGGACTTGAGTCCTTCAGCCCAGGACAGCGTGGGTCACACTGTCCATTGGGTCACATTCTCAGACTCACAGAGTGACCCTGAGGAATGTCATTTCCTAGCTGAGCAGTGCCTCTAGCGGGAAGGGATCTCAGAGCCGAGGGGGGAGACACCCTCTTCTAATTCTGCTTCCCGGAACTCAGGGGCTCTTATTAGGGGCTCAGGGAGGGGGGTGACAGGAGGTGGGAGGGAGTGGAGAGGCAGGCATTCAAACGGGAAAATGGTCAGGGCTCAGGGCTCTTGGTTCAAAGTGCCCTCCCTCCCACAGTGAACAACCAAACCCACAAACCCGCCATGGTTCAGACTCGTGGCGCCCCCTCGAGTTACAGAGTCTAACTGCTCCACAGGGTTTCCCTGGCGCTCAGCTTCACTGAAGCAGAGAGCCAGACCTTTCTTCCGTGGAACTGCGGGCGGGTTCAACCTCTAGCTTAGTTTAAAGCCCCAAACGAGATAAACAGGCGAAAACTACTGCCCTCCAGCTGATCCCAGCCCAGAGCAACTCTGTAGGGAAGAGTCCAGCTGCCCCCACAGGGTTTCCAAAGGCCGTCAATCTTTACAGAAGTGGACTGCCAGGCTTTCTGCATTGCCGCAGCTGGGTGGATCCAAACCACGAACCCAAAGTCTGTGCCACCCGGGGACCTCCCCGGCGCAATACATCCCACGGAGTCCACTTCCAAGACAAGGGCACGTCACCGGCCTCTCTCCTTCCCAGGGCAGAACTGCCCCTGTGAGTTTCCAAGACTGTACCTCTTGACCCGAGTAGAAAGCCCTGTCTTTCTTCGCAGAATGGCTGGTGGTTTTGAACTGCTGACCCTGTGGATCGGATCACAAGCCCGATGTGTAACCAGTACACCAGCTGGGTTACCCGGGAGTAGACAGCCTCTTCTTTGTCCCTCTGAGTGGCCGGTGAGTTCAAAGTGGCCTTGAACGTGCCATCAGCAGCCCAGCGCTCACCCAGGCTCCTTTTCAGCTGGGAGTCCAGAGTCAATCATTACCTGCTCACTCAATACCGCCATAGAGCTGGCGTCCTTCAGCACCGCCAACCCCTTCTTTCCCAAACCGAGGGCTGGACACGCTGCACTCAGTGGGTCCACTTCCATCTTCTCCGTCTCAGCAAATGTCCGTCCGTCTAGGGACCCCCCGGGCTTGGGGTCAGCCCAGACTTCCCTTTTCCTCACACATCCAGCCCATCAACAACCGCAAAGGGCTCCCCCTTCAACACAGATGCAGGATGCCGCCCTCAACCTGCGGCCTGGCCCGCAGCACCCTCTCGCAGTTCCCCGCACGGCCGCCGGGGGGCGGACACCAGACATGGAGCCGCCACCCACCACCGCCCCTTCCCCAGCCCCGCCCGATGGGCCCTGCGGGGCCTCCTTCTCGCTGGGGCACCAGCTCCTGCTGCACCGGCCCCTCACCGTTGCTCCACGTCTTTGGCTCCTCGTGACCCTGTAGGCCAGGGTAGAGCTGCCCCTGTTGAGTTTCCAAGACTGTGACTCTTTATGGGAGTAGAAAGCCTCTTTGTTCCTCTGGGCAGCCAGTGGTTTCGAACTGCTGACCTTGCCCAATCCACCACCGGAGGGTCCTACTTAAAGGCCCCCCAAATAAAAAAACTTTTACTATGTCCTGCTCATTTGCTCACTCGCTTTCTCTCTTCCTCTTCCTCCTCAGTGGAGGCCACCCGATTGAGAGCCAGCGAGAGGAGAGAAGTCCCTGGGCGGGGGTGGCCAGTTTGCGCTTGGCTGAGAATCGAACAGGAGCCCGGTGGCGCGGCTGGCTCGGCAGAGCTTGCTAACGGCGAGGGCAGCGGTGCAAACCCACCGGCAACTCGGGGGGCAGAAAGTCGAGGCAGTCTGACCTCCGTAAAGACGACTGGCAGCCTGGGAAACCCTGTGGGGGCAGGCCCATGGGGCATCTCCGAAGTCTGTCTGTTTTTGTAAGGTGACCAGACGTCCCGCTTTTGGCGGGACAGTCCCGATTTTTAACAATTTTTCTCGCATCCCCGCGGCGTTTTAAAAACGCCCCGAATTTTGGAAAGAATGTACGACAAGCTAGGGTATACGGTTTCTGGCTGCCATGTGGCTATTTCGCCAGGATATGAATTTTATCAGTGGTGTCCCGTTTTATCAATGTTAAAATCTGGTCACCTTAGTTTTTGAGATACGGAAGAGCAGATTAAGAATCTCAGCAAGCACACATTGGGGTGGGGGTGGCGTGGCGGGGTAGATCTCTGCACCACGATCGATCCCATAAGTACGATCCAGCTGCTCGCATCAGGGGCCAGGGGTCCTGGTGCCGTTTAAGCCCACCGGTCGCTTCATGGAATAAAGATGAAGTGTGTGCTCCTGCTAAGTTCCGGCCTTGGAAACCTCCTCCCTTCGGCAGGGTCGCTAGGAGTTGGAATGGACTTGGCAGGGATGGTTGCGATGTGGGAGTTGGTCACTGCCAACTTGGGGGTAAGGGGGCGGGTGACGGCCCCATGAGGGTGTGGCTTCTCAGCCCTCCTCACCTCGGAGGAGTCTTAGGACCGGGCTGGGCTCTGGGCAGGTGCCAGGTGGGGCAGCAGTGAAGACCCAAGGGAGAAGCACAACGGGGGTGGGGGGTGGGGGGGTATCCTCACCTGCAGCCGGCTCAGGACTTGGTGGTAGTGGAACAGTGTGCAGAAGTCCACGTGGGCCGAGAAGTCCTCCAGAGAGGCTTTCTCCTCCGGACTGGAATGGAATTCCTGTTACCACAGGAGGCAAGACTCTCCTTTAGGCCTCTTTCCACCACCCCTTCCTTTGTCCCAGAACTGGGGGTCCGGGATTCATTCCCTTTGAAGCCTACATTCACTCCCAGGGCCCGGGATTTGTCTCCTCCTTTGGTTTTGGGTTGAGGGGAGAGGGTGCACCCATTTTGCTCACCAAGAAACGGAGGCAGCCTGGTATTATGAATCAAAACAAAACCCAAAACACAAAACCAGATGGCTTGAAGGGCCAGTGGTTCCGGTTTCGGTTTTGACTCTCATTCACTGTGGTGGACTGAATTGTGCTACCTACCCCCACCTCCCCACCCCCACAAAAAAAAGATACTGCTGTAGTCAGTTCTAACCTAGGTACCCGTGACGGTGACCTGGGTTGGAAGGCATGTCTTTGAAGATGGTATTGGTTAACCCGGAGGTCCTCCTGGGGGAGGGGGAGTCCTAATGGATTATGAGTGGTGTCTTTTGAACTGAGGAGCCACAGAAGGGGCTGCCCTCTCTCAGGGAAGACAGAGGCAGAGATGGTAGTGATGTGTCCACAGGCCACAGAGAGGAAAGCGGGCGTGACAACGGCCACCCGAAGCTAGGAGCGGCGTGGGGCAGATTCTCCCTCAGGAGTCCACAGGACCGACACCCTGGTTCCGGACTTCCAGTGTCGAGCCGAAAGCGAATACATCTTGTAGGCCGCCCAGTGTGGGGCGTTTTGTGAGAGCAGCCCTGGGAAACGAACCTATTGCCCACGTTCACACGGAGCTGTGTGGCAGGCCCAGTTTGCCACCCTCTCTTCCTCCATAGGATTCGAGGAGGTTGATGGCACCATGGTGCCCATTTTCCAGATGGCAAAACCAAGGCCCCAGGGAAGTCACTGGCCAGGGTCTGGCGGGACGCCAGAGCACAGATGATGGGCCCACTCCTTTACGCATCCTTAAAGCTCATGTTGATGCATGAGAGCCTTCATCTCGTTGAGCCCGTTTCCACATCTGCCAAAGAGGCTCAGGCCTTCTTTCTCAGTGGGCTGATGTGGGAATTGGGTGAGATTGTGTGTCCTATTTGACGTGTGTGTACTTGCCTTTCTGTGTATGTATGTGTATGTGAAGGAACCCTGGGTTAAACCCACCAGTCACTCCATGGAGGAAAAAAGAAGCAGCCTATTTCTGTAAACATCCCAGCTTTGGAAAGCCTCTCTGGGGAAAATTCTACGCAGACTGGTAGGGTTGTTATAAATCAGAATCAACTTGATGGATTAAAAAAAAAAAAAAGACGTGTCTTTGTGTGTGAGGAGGAATGAATGGTGGGGCGATGATTAAGCAGTCAACAGTTAACGGCAAGGTCAGCAGTTCGAACCTGCCAGGGCTGTTCTCGGGGAGGAAAGCCCTGACAGGCCGATCCCGTGAAAGATGACAACAGCCTAGGAAACTATGAGGTGGTTGTACTCTGTCACACGGGGTCCCTATGAGTCAGCATTGTGACACATGTGCGTCCCAAACTGTTAAACTCTCGGCTACTAGCCATAAGGTTGGTAGTTCAAACCCACCCAGAGGTTCTTTGGAAGATAGAGTGGTTGTATCCTGCATACATGGGAGGAGGGGGTGGCTTGTGTGGCCCTCACCATGAATCAGAATAGATGTACAGTAGCTGGCAACAAATTGTGTGTATTTACACACAAAACTGGTAACCAGTCTCCCTGTGATGGCGTCAATTCTGTTACCTAGTGACCCTCTAGGATAGAGTAGAACCGCCCTTTGGTTTACTGAGGCTATGAATCTTTACAGGTGTAGAAAGCCTCGTCTTTCTCCCAAGGAGCAGCCGGTGGGTTCAAAGTGCTGGACTTGGGGTTAGCAGCCCAATGTGTAAGCCACTGTGCCATCAGGGCTCGTTTGCCTGCACCTATGGGGGTTTAAAGTCTCGCAGGGGACTTAATACACACAGCAGCAAGTGTGCAAGGAATAATGGCTAAATCAGGGAGCGACATTGCTCAGCAGTATCAGGTGTGATGACGATGGTGGAATCAAACGCTCAAGCTCTGCCAGGGGACCAGGGAGATGGATGAGGCGCCTCAGGTACAATCACTCTTGTGGCTGGCGATGTCAGTGGAGTCTGACCCCATAGGATGGAAGAGAAGAGGCATCAGAGTTTGCTGGGTTGTCCTTAAGGAAGCAGAGCCGCCTCAGTGGGTTCAAAGTGCCGTCTGGTTACCAGGCAAGCACATAACCATTGTGAGACCAGGGCTCTATGCAATCGGCTCTTAGGATTGTGCAAGTGTCTGATTCAGCTCACCCTAGTCCTGGCCCTAGGCTGGAGGGAGACTATGTCAGTTTACATCGGCCACCACCGTGACCTTGGGCAAGCTCCTGATACCTCGGCTGTGAAAGGATGGCCTGCTCTCTCTCACTGGGTCCTCCTGATGATTCAATGATACAAGCTAAATGCTCAGCCCAGCGCCTGCCATATGCCCAAACAGCATGAATGGAGCTGATTGATTGTAGCTTTGTGACTTTGATTGTGACTTTGTGCGTATAATAATATGCATCGCTAAATCGTAGCAATGACTCATGACGCCCATTTTGAAGAGGGTCAAACCGTGGCCCCAAATGTTGACCTGTCCGGCCTCCCTGAACAAACTTCCATCCTGCATCTCCGAGCTTTGCAACGCTTGTAGGTCCGCCCAGGACGATGGTGGGCGTCTGAGACCACAACTCCCAGGAGACACAGGGGCAGCCTGCCATAGTACGCGGAGGGCCCTGGTGCCCCGATGCCTGGCGGGAGTCGTAGTCTCCAGGCTCTGGGACCCAGGAGGGGCGGTACCTGGATGAGGAGGCGGATTAGCTGCTCCCTGGAGAAGGGGATGAAGCGCTCGCGGTATTGCTGGGCCCAGTTGCGGGGCTCCGTGGGGTTCCACATCTTGCGGTACTCCCCCATTTTGGCCGCCAGTGATGACAGGGCCCGGGGGGGCCCGAGGAGCGTGGGCCAGACCCGGACCCTGGACCCCCAGGCCCCCCGGGCCAACCGCAGCATGGCCAGACCCTTTCCCGGGAGCCTAAAGGAGACGAATGGGCAGGGTCATCGGGAGGAAATGCGACCTCTAGCTTCCACGTCCCCACCTCAGAGGACTCAGAGCTCACACACTCACTTTGAAGCCCCTCTAACCTGTCCCCTCCCATACAGCTCCGCCTGGAGTCAGGCAGAGGTCAGAGGTCATTGGGTTCCGGGGCGTTTGGCGGGCCCAAAGGCCCGGTAAGGGGTACAACAGGTTTCTGTCGGGTCTAGGCAGTAAGGAGAATTTGGGGAACACAGCTGACGATCGGAAAGGCTAGGTTAGGGGTGCAGGGCCGCCCTCCCCCGGCCATGCAGCCCCACGCCCTCCCCCTCACCTTAGCCAACGCTCGACTGTCATTGAGCCTCTTGCGCATGCGCACAAGGGCCTCTTAGCGCCCCGGGGTCCGGCTTCAGACAGCAGTAAAACGCATGCGCTCTCCCTGGGTCATTGTTAGCCGGCCGAGACTACCATCCTATGTTACTACGCATGCGTCATCTATTGGGCTTTGCCCAACGCGGTGCTTTGGGGAGCAGCGCATGCGCTGCCGCAGTGTCTTCGTGTCCGCACGCGCGAGACCCCAAGAGCGAGCGGCCCGCCAACGGCGAGCGGCCCAACGTCTACCGAGGCCACGCCCCCTCCTTGTCAGCGCCAGAGTGGGCGGGAATGGAGAAGGGGCGGGGCTTGCGCACAGCCAATCCGCTCTGGAGGAACGAAAAGGCGGGAAAAAGCGGAACCAAAAGAAGGTTGAGGCGGCGCCAGGGACCAGGAGCGGGGGCAGGACTGAGAGGAGAAAGTCCGACTTCCGGTGACGCAGGCCGATTTTTCTCGGAGTACGAGTGTCACCTCCAGCCCCCTCTCCCCCATTCCACGTCCTTAAGAGGAGAACCCCGGTTCTAAGAAGGTAGCCTTGTGCTGAGAGCCCGTCTTCCTAATTCTGAGGGGACAGTTCCCATCAGGGGCCATGGGCCCCACAAAGCTCAGGTCCCCCTCCGCTAACCTGAGGAAGCGCACTTTTATGAAGACGGAGCTGAATCATTAGGGAGGCCCTTGTCGTCAGGAAAGAACCCTAAGTCACAAGGACACCCCCTAAAATACCCGTGGAGATGCCTGGTTTCCCGGATGTCCATACCGTCATTCCAGATGCTGAAAGGATTTCTCTGGCTCAGACCTCCTAGGATTCCTGACCTCGATTCTAGCACCTTCTACTCCCCTCAAATCCCACCGGTTTCTGCTCCCAGAGGGGACCCTCTGTCTGCTGTCTCAAGGGGCAGGAGCCTCAAATATTCCAGCTTCCCTACTTCCTCTCCCTGATCCCCCTCATCCTGCACCTCACCCTCAGCAACCCTCACACCTTGGACCCTGACTGTAAAACCCTTGGCACCCCCTGAATGCCACACACCCCATTTCTGGGGCTCCCATAGCCCCCTTTCTCCTCCCCCTGCACGCTCATCTCTGGAAGCCTCGGTAGCTCTCTTACCCCACTCGTGAGACCCCCCCCCCACAACACCTTCCTTGCCCCACACCAAACTCCCCAAACTTCTGGCAGCCCTTCAACCCCAAACCTTATTCCCAGGGGCTCCAGTAGCCCCCCTCCCTATGCTTCTCTTCACCCTGGCAGCTCCCCTCCCCTACTAAGAACCATAGCAGCACCCTGTCACCCCCACTTCTGGGCCCCCAGCAGCCCTAACTCCCAGGCTTTCCCCTCCTGGGAACTCTAGCAGCCCCCTCCCCATATTTTCCACTTCGGGGAACTCTAGCAACCCTTGCCCCTGGCTCTAACATCCCATCATTCTCTCTGTCTTGCAGGTATTGTGGGCCAGGGGTCCTGGAGCATCGGACGGCCTGGCCTCACAGGCAGCACCCTGCCCCCCTGCCCCTGCTTCCCTGGGTTTCAAGAGGAGAGCAGCCAGCATGCATGTCCCCGAGAGCCTCCAGGACCTGGCGGACAGCGAGGCAGTGCAGTTTCTGAAGAGACCAAAGGTCATGGGGAGGATCTGCGCAGGGGTGAGGGTCTCCTGGGGTCTAGCTGCCCCCACTGGGTCGGGAAACCAGAATTCTCAAGTCTCAGATACAGTACAGGGAAGAGTGAGAGAAAGGCATGGATCAGACAGGGAAATGAAGCCAGGGGAATGATATAAGGGAGCTACTTTTTACTGTTACCTCCCTGGGCCCTGAGCGACCCTGACTGTTGTCGGTTGTCCTGGAGTTGACCCCGATTCACAGCCACCCTGTGGTTTCTGTTGAGTAGAATGCCTGAGAGTGTTCAATAGTGTGGTCTTTCGGAAGTATATTGCCAGGCCTGTCTTCTAGGGTCCCTTGGGTGGGTTTGGACTGTCAAACTTTCAGCAAGTAGAGGGGCGCTTAACCACTTGAGTCACCAAAGGATTCTTTGATATTCCAAGCTCTTGTCCTGAACTCGAATCCTCCCAAAGAACCCTCCAATTCAGTGTTAGGAACCCCATTTCTTTCTTCTTTAATGGTTTTTTACAAATTTGAATTGTTTTATTGACATATAATTCACATATCACACAATTTGATCTTTTTTTAAAAATCATTTTATTGGGGGCTCATACAATTCTTATCCCAATCCCTACATACATCAATTGTATAAAGCACATTTGTACATTCGTTATCCTCATCATTCTCAAAATATTTGCTCTCCCCTTAAGCCCCTGGCATCAGCTCATTTTTACCCTCTACCTCCCCGTTCCCCCTCCCTCATGAACCCTTGATAATTTATAAGTTATTATTTTGTCATATCTTACACTATCCGACGTCTCCCTTCACCCACTTT